TGAGAATAGCCAAAGTGCCTCTTGATTAAGATGACCGTTTAGTCACCTACAGGATGAACAAATTATTTTTTCTTTACATGTGCCAGTATAAACTGTAAAGGTTTGGGTCCCTGAATATATAGAAACCCTCACACTGCATTCTTCCATCAAACATAAAGCTGGGAGTTGTACAGGTATATTAGTGTGCTTGGGTGGTATCATACAAAAACCTCCCATGAGTTTAGATTGACTAAACTTAGTATTGTGAATGTGCCTCTATATTCTAAATATTAGAGGAAAGCATCACTGAGATGCAGTGATTATGAAAATACTGTAAAATAATGGTTTTCAGAGATTCCAACCATACAGTCAAAATAAGAGTGGGAAGATTAGAGAGTGGAAAAATAGGAGACAAGAAAACCGAGAGGACTGAGAAGACCAGGTCTCACGTTACTACTCCCCCCATTTCCTTTGTCTTTGTGATTTGTAGGAATTCAGCAGAAACTTGAAGGTTCAGTAGTAACTGAACACATTTGGATGCGCAATATGAAAAACGGAATATATTTCTGATGTGCACTTAACTTTGAGTGTCCAACATCTCTACACAGTATTCACACACTGGAGTGTGCATACACAGAATGAAAACAGACAGTCTTCCACAGACTTAAAACATATTTTGGAACTATATAATTTGAAAAATCAAAGCTTCATAAATGTATGCATTTACACACAATGTGGTATATGAATGTGACAAATAATGCACTTTTATTTTCCAAAGGCAAAATTTTCTCATCTCACAAAAGCAACCCACAGCAATAGAATCCATTTCATCTGTAAACTGCAGGCTTGATGGGTATATCGTTTAAATATCACGCTGTTCCTTTTTTAAATTGATTTTTTTTAAACCATGAATTTATTTTGCTGTTTTTCCATCATGTTCATTTGTATGAGTGTTTGTGCAAAGGGGAGGAAAAAAACAGTATTATCAGTGTCTGCAGCAGTCTGAAAGCAAATATTTTTGCCATCCAAGGAGTGAACTGCAATGAGAAATCCAGAGTCAAGGCACAGACGTGTTCGTCACCAGAGTCGTCACCTCCCAGGTACCACGGTTCATTTAGGAGCCTGTTACGCCGTTGGGTTCTCTGTTGCAGATGCTTATGGTTGGCCACAGGGAGAGTAAATATTGAAAGGCAAATATGAAAATCTTCTCTGAAATTCACTGTGTCCAGAAAAAAATGGACAGCACTGTTCCTATTCACTTCCTCGCTTCTCCAGTTAACCTTCACAGTATTCCAACATGGAATTTTAACGGAGCAGTGCTTTGGGATGGAATGCACACCTTGGCCACCACACCCGCAACTCGGCGCCTCGCACAGCAGAAAGCGGCAAGAACAGCTAGCGTTCGTAGCGTGCTTTGCTGCGTCTTTAGGCTGGGCTGCAGACGCACAACCAGCTGCTCTGGCAGCCGACACGAAGGGCGCTTTCGGTGGCACTCGCCCTCTCCTTGAGGGACTGGATCCTCCCCGTAACATTTTCTCAGTGTTCTGGCTTCAGGTACAAATGTCCCTCTAGCAGCAATTTCTAAACTGAAAATGAACCTCTAAATGCAAGAAACCTCTTTACTAGTACTTTGTAGAGGGCAGAATATTGTGGGGTGAAGTTCCTAATGTTTCTTACCAGTGTAGTGGTTTTAGAAAAAACATTTTTTAATTTTTGCTCAGCAGTAGTGACTATTTGTCTGTCTTCTACTGGACAACTTACAGACCTTTGATTTCGATGGATTTGAGGGGACAGATCTAGTTACTGATTTGTTTTGCCTTGTAACAACGGGAATATTAAATACCCGCATTTGGTAATGTTTCCCTTTCCTGCCTTGCCTAATCAACGGCTCAGAACTGCCCGAGAGTCTTAGCACCACGTCAGTTATTACACAGACTCTGGCTACTTGCAACAAGTGTGAGAGTTCATCTAATTAACTGATTTCAGTTCATTTGGCATTAAATAATTCCCAGAACTCCCATATGTTTGTCCAATATGTTCTACAAGGGGAATGATTCTCTAAAAGCAATTAAATAGCTCCTTTCAGACTAGCTTGCCATTGGCCATTCACCCACATCGCTGCTCTCAGTCTCTCCATGATGCACGCTGTCAGCAATTACACAGAGTGACCCTGGAAAGCCGCCAGCGGCCGTGACCAGAGCCTACACTAGTTCAGTGACTCGGGCTTTTTCTTTTTTTTAATTTTTTTTTTTTTTAAATGAGGTGGGTGGGAGGGCGCTGGGTAGACAGACTATAATCATAGTCTCCCAGTTGTCTTTCCCATCAACTTTGCTAGGCTGCTACCAGGACTCTCCTACCACTACTGACGTTATTTGTTCTCGTATCTTGTGTATTTGTGTTTTGTTTCATTCTTGATGCTTGAAAAATTTGAGCTATTTATTTCTGATGGGGACCATCACCAGTAGCATAACTAAAACTCTGGATTCACATCTCCTAAGGGTGTTGTGCTGAAAACAAAATAACCTGTATTTTGCTCCCATTATTGAAGATGAATTGTTAAGCTTTGTACTGGAGGTAACTTCAGCAAAATTCCACCACCACCGCCTCCACAGCCTCCCCATATTTTATGCATTTGTCAGCAGCAGCCACTTGGCAAAGGACGTGTGTGTTGGGAGAGAGATAGGATAGAAAGGCATCGACCAAGTTAAATAACTAAGGTTTGACTCGCTCTCTGGAAATACGCTTGCTACCCCCTTCCTGCGGCTGCATCAAACCAGATAAGGCAGTAGAACGCATCACCCTTTGCCAAGGTACAGCAGAGAGGAATCATACGAACTGAGTAACTTACTGAAAAAATAAATATGCATAAAAGTTGGCTTGAGGGTTTCTAATAATTCTGAAACATTTTCCTTTCTTTGTAGGTAACTGGATGATTTCTTAAATTAGCTGGAAAGAGAGGTGATTTGGGGTAACAGCGGGAAGGTTTTATTTTTAAGGAAATCAAATAGCCATTTGTAAAGAGTAGCAGTGGTTGGTGTTAAGTGATGGTCTTCTGTGCAAAACCAGGGTTTTCCTAGCAATGAAGTTGTTGTGAAAATTTGTTTGTTATTCGTAGGCATAAGCAGAAGCAAGTAGGTTTTTTTGCTTGAACCGTTTGCTTAGAATAGTCATTCTGCCATCCGTTCAACAAAACAGACAATCGCCTCCTGTGTCTCCTAACGTGGTGAGGTTGCTGCTTTGCTGCAGCAAGGCCTGCCAGCACTGTGCTGCGCGCTCTCCGCTCCTGCCTGCCCCATAGGCGCTCGCTGTTCAAGAGCAACGTGGCAGCTACAGGAGAGGCTGTGTTTGTGCTTTGATTTTTTTTTTTTTGCCTACGAATCCTACAAACACTCAGAAGCACTGAGGCTTAGGGAGCATTTATTATTATGACACTTGAAAAAGAAAAGGCAGAATTGGCCTTTTTTGTTAGCAGGTTATGTTGTCCCGTCCCCCCCCCCCCCCCCCAGTCTTCATCTCACAGATACTTGTACATGTAGTCTTTAGTAAGGGATGGCACTGAAGCTGTTGGAACTTTTCAAGTCTTTAGCAAGAATGGTAGTTTTAACTGCATTTTCAGAGCACCTGCTATTACAGTTATACTGAGAACGCTACCCCCAGGTGATGCTCGATGGACATGCACAGTCAATTTGCAGGATTGGAATCTGATGGATTTCAGTGCAGGGCTACACATAAGTGTGCCTACGTGAGAGCTACATTCACCTAAATGTATTATCCCGTCGGCTTGGCTCAGAGTTCAGCAGCATAGCCATGAAGCCTGGGCTCAGCGTAGGCAGCGTGGGATGGTTTGGTTGTTGCCACGTTGCTACTGCAAAGCTCTAAGGGCAGGGGTGGTGGTAGCTTGTGACATGGCCAGGGAAATAGATCCTAATCTTTAAGCAGGGATTTTCTCCCTTACTTATGTTTTAAGTTTTATTATTACGTCATCTTATTTATATCTTGGTTCAGGTTCTTCCCTTTATTTTTATCTTGGAAACACCATTTGCTTTAAGAGTGAATGCCCTGGCCAGTCATTTAGAAGCCAAAACTTGGCAACGTAGAATCCAACTGAAGGATTACAGTGAAAAAAAAAAAAAAACCAAACAACAAAACAACCCAAACCCAACCCCCCCCAACAGGACAAGATGTTTCAATTGCTAGTTTTAATGGCTAAGGACTGAGTCTCATCCACTTTGTCACTGGCTGCGTGCAGGTGTTTATGATAAGAGGTAAGGAAAGCACATTTATGTGGGACAGGGCTAAATTTAGGTTTAAATGAACGAAAGAAGATTCTTGTCAGATACTTCATCTATATAACTTAGCAAGCAGTTAATCTAACCAAACAAAGGTGATACATTCAGCTTCCAGACTTCAGTTGTGCTGATGGGGTCTCCATTGACAGTAATGGAGCCCACATGCGTGTATCAACTTTGCAGCGTTCTAAATTTAAGCAAAGAAGTTCTGTGCCTGATGTCTGCTATAAGTTACCTAGCTTGTTCATTCTGCAGAATATAAATGTGTTTTCAAACCAGGGAGCTCACACTCAATCTGGGAAAATTTATGAGACTGTGTTTTTAAACCATAATTTGTTTTATCTTCGCTACTGTGAAAATATTGTTGATGACAGTCTTTGAAGGCAGAGTTAGATGGTAATACTACCAGCTGGTGCATAAAGCGAGGCTTACTTGCATAGAGTAATTTTAGTGTTGTATTTGGTTTAAGCAAATTGAAATGTATTTTAAAGACCAGAATCCTAAACTGACCAGCCAATGATTTGAGTAGATATGGCCTAATAGTTTTGTTTCATCTCCAGCTACTGCTTCTACATGAAAATTAGCACAGTAATTGGTTCGCTTATCCTTTCCTGTAACAGATGAGGTACTTAGATTTTAACTAAAATATTTTAAAATTTGCAGTTAAAGTAAATTTTCACTCCTTATTAAAAAGAGCCTGACAGATGTTATTGTCTCCCCCCCCCCCCAAAGCCTACAGCCAGAAGGCACAGATGTTCTTCTGGGACCAGAAGTAACTTGTGGGCCCGCAGATTTGTCTGTCAGCACTCCATTTGCCTTGACAATACCGCACTGCGCAGAAGTGAATTCAGAGCACTGGAATATTCACTTGAAAAAAAGGACAGCGCAAGGAAAATGGGAGGTAAGTTTAGACTTCAGCTAGCGATGGAAACGTGATTGCTCTTATTCATGCAGACACAGGTCAAAGATTATGTAAATGATAGAAAAAGTCATCTTAAAGAAATAATTAAAGATTTTGCATTTTGTTAAGAACCAGCTAAACTATTTTCAACTATTTTACCAAGATGTGCAAAAAGGGTTAACTTCATGATCTAGACCACGTGACATGAGAAAGTATTCATTTTCTTGGATCACTTAATGGAGCCAGTAGCCATTTATTTTTAAAAACATTGTTTTGATAGATCATAGCTACCAAAGAGACTCATGTCAGAACAGATCATTATATCCATGCAAGAATTTATCATGCCATAAGAAAGTTATGGAACTCATTAAAAATATACACTTCCAAGTGTAATTTTTTTTTTTTACCTAGGAGAATCCTCCTGTTTTAAAAATCTTGTCTCTTTGTACATGTCATTTTGATGGGCATTCAGTGGTCACTCTGTGCTCATACCCTCTGAAGGATTAGTATACGTTAAATGAAAGATTTTGCTTTTTTGGTTGACAGTGTATTTTCTAATCCCAATTAATCAGGGAAAGTAAGCTTTGTGCATTTGTGACATGGGCATTTAATCATTTGTGTCTGTCCACCTGCATTTTTTAAGCCCACTGGCCATCTTCAACTGAAACTGCTTGGTAGGCAGCAGTCTTAAACATAGTAAACTTTCTGCATCATCTGGGGAGACAGCCTACTAATAATACTCCTGAAGGGATGGCTAAAGCATGAACCAAACTGTTACTCAACATTACAGAAATCCACACAGGATGGAAAGGTGCCGAATTTCCCACGTATAAAACGTTCACTGTACATGTTAGAACCACAGAACCCAGTAACTAGACACAAATCCATAGGCAATCAGATTTTATTGCACTGCTGCTGCTGGAACTATTTGGTTCATTGCGTTGTGAGGAGAAAAAACCCCAGTAAGTTAAAGCGTTCCTAGATGCTATAACTTACTATACTTTTCCTCCTCTAAACCATTTCAAGGTCAGCTTAGTTTTCCTACTTCGGATGCACTCAATACTTGGTCAGCTCCATTGGCGCTGGGTACAAAGGAATTAATGAGGAGTGTAACACCAGACTGTAGACTCCTCAGATCCCTCATCTAACGATGCTGTAATGCAGAACTAAGCATGAAAGGCAAAAGAGTGGGATAGGGAGTTTTTTTGATGAAGGTAAACATAACTGTAATGGATGTTCTGAAAGGAAGTCAAATACCAACTATTGTTCAAGGTTTGCTTATTGACTTTAATCTTCAAGGTAATTTCCTAACTTGACATTGGGAAAAAAATTAGCTAGACAGTCAAGAGCACTTGAAAAAGAGATGCTAAAATTGCTTACCCATCATCATTATTATTATATGCTGTACGCATTGAATTCTGCACGATATATTGCCATAAATCCTATTGCTGACTCAGGGCTAAATTGGGAGTATTTACTTATGTCGGTAGTCTGCCTTCTCCCCTGAGGTCAACACGAGTCAAGATTGCGCAGACTGGCTCTCAGAATTACTTCACGTTCCAGTTGAATAAAAAATAAACAAATAATGTCATGACTCCTATTGTCCTGAATTTCATTTTGCAGGAAGTGATGTCTGTGGAAGAGGAAACTACTTCTTGCTACTGCCTGTTGGATCCTTATGCCTGTCACATTCTCTTAAACAGCTTTGGAACTTATGCTCTTATTGGAGAACCCATCTCTGACTGTGCCGTTCGACAGCTGAAAGTAGCGGTTTTTGGCTGCCTGTCTTGCAATTCTCTGGATTACAATCTGAGAGTATATTGTATGGATAACACACCTTGTGCATTTCAGGTAAATGGTTTCACTTCATTCATTTGGTTTTAGTTAGTTTTCCACAGAATACTAACACTCCTTTATTCCTGGGGATGGTCCCTGGGCAACAGCAATGGTCCAGACCACAAATGAACGAGAATACTGTGTATGTTTATGCCACTGCTGCATGACTTGGAATAAGTCCCTTAATTTCTCTGCGCTGTTGTTTCCCTTGTGGATTTACGCTGCAAGAGCTTTAGGACAGCCAAACCTTCTTTTCATTTTCTGCCAGGCAGATGGAAACCCACTCTGCCCACGTCCTAGGGAATCACAGGATCCTAGGATCACGCAGCCGCGGTTAACACAGCACACAGCTACAGCTGATAAGCCAGGAGCGTTAGGGTGGGCTCAAGGCCTCGGCTACCACGTGGGCACAGGCAGAGCCTGCTCGCATCCGGAGCTGAGCGCTACTCCCCTACAAGCAGGAAATCTAAGTCATTATCATTTGATGTGCAGTATTTATCACGCTCATTACCCTGACACTGTCATTGGTTAGTTCAGGATTTCCTCTCCTTTTTACAATTTGAGCAAGAAGAAAGAGATTGCCTCACTACCTTTTTAAACAAATAATCTTGCATTTCCCCTTTAAAAAAACCAAACAAACAAACTGCAAAACAATCCCCAAGTGACGATTAAAATTAGCATGATTTTTCTACATGGTATTCCAAGACAAAACAATGAAATTCACTGGCTTTTGCAGCCTTAGCAAACTCAGAAGCTTTAACAAAATGGTTTTCTTTTGGGAACTAAAATGAAGAGAGTTGTGACAGATGAATTTTTGCTTCCTTTTGCTATCGCACAGAATAGACACGTGAATCTTAATGAAGCACGCACTAATGTCTATGTGCTCCTAATAAAACCAAAGCCACTGAAAGGATTGTGAAAGACTTACAATAGCTTTGTAATTATACCCCTTATAACACTTACACAATTGGCAGGTTAGCAGTATTTTCCGGCCCGAAATTCAGAGGCCCGCACTCCTTAGGCATTTGTGAGCACATACCGGTGGCTTTGAGTCATCCGTTCAGTTGATCTGAACCTGTACTGTCTGCTGCCTGTAGCAACTGCATCAGTTACACCATGCCTGTATGCATTCAGTATTGTGCAGCAGGTTTATTAAAAATGTACGAAAATCTTTGGAACTTTTAAATACAGAGAAAAAAGCTGCCACAAAATTGTGCAACACAACTATGAGAGAGGCCCACAAGAGGAAAATGAGATTAATCTTACTCAGAGCAACCATTTATTTTCTTCACAGTACTTCGTACAGCACGGTGCAGTCTCTTTCAGCGATTCATTCATGCTGAATTTTACCTTCAGTATATTAAATTAAAAAAAACCCACAAAAGCCCTCACCCATAGCAGCCTGGTTTGACTGTACCATCTTGTTTCTCAAATTATTGTGACATTCAGCAAAACAATGAAGGAGACTGGCTTATTTTTTCATTGATGCACATCAAAATAGGTAAGATTTCAAAGTTAGTTGTTGCTCTTCTGTGGAAAATTGTTAGAAGAATAATTACCAGTTTTCTGCATTCACAGAACTTACAACAGAGTGTGTACGTAATGAGACAACTGTGTATTTATTAAATTATACTTCCCTTAAAAGCATGCTGCATCAGCTTCATGCTAGTGTAAATATTAAGTGGTGAACATGGAAAATACAAATTTTTTTTTTTTTTTGTATGAAGTATCAGATTGGGCTTACCAAGTTTTGTTTGACACTGTTAATGCTTTACAGTGCAGTCCTATATGAGACACAAAGTTCCTTGCTTTTTCACTTTGTCCCTGTGTGAAAACTTTACCTTAGTTTTCCAACAGGTGACTTTGCCCTTAATGCAATTCCTAGTGTGCTGGGAAACTCTTGGCTCTCAAAAGATAAAAAACCAAGTCCTTTGTATTTTTTATTTTGCCGTAGTCCTGCTGATGTTTGTGGAATTAAGGACCACATGCATTATTAAAGGTAGAGCAGTATTTATACAACTACGGTACATTTTAAAAAGGTTCCAACACATTCAGGGAATTTTGAAAATTGTTATGAAATAAGCTTATTTGCAGTTGAAAATCAAAAACTGAAGTCTCCATTCTTATTCCTCCTTTCTTGTAAACCCAGCCATCAGGAGTTAAAACAAACTGAATGCCTGTAAATTGGTTTATAATAGAAATCCATTATTACAGTTTCAGAAAGCTCTAGCAGTCATTATATTTTCAGAAGGTCACAGCGATTCCAGTAGTTCTTCTAACAACAACTTTGCTACTGACAAGCACTAAACCTCTTCAATGTACACAGATTTTATATCATTTATGTGGATAAAAAAAGGTAATTTTGAAAGACTGCTTGCTAGCTGATTTTTAAAGACTTCTGCAAGCTTTCCTTTCTCACTAGCATTTTTACTGTAACAGCACAGGAATAAACATTGCATAAGTACAGGAGGGGTGGGTTTTTTACTATTATGTTTTAAATTCACAGAATTATATAAAAATTTAGGTTGGAACAGACCTCTAGAGGGCTGTAGTGCAAATTCCTGCTCAGCCAGCCCTTCCAAGGTTGCTGAGGGTCTTGTCCAGTAATTCTGAACATGTTCAAGGGAGGAGAAATGAAACCGAAGTATTTTGTCTAATGCGTACACTTGGTGTCTTTCTTTCAGTGCTCTTTAAAGTCCTGAGAGTAATTTCTCACCACAACTGCTGCCGACTTCATCTATAACTGAGCAGACTATTCACCAACATGCCTGATGTTGTCTGTCTTCCTTTTAGTCTGTTCAGTAAATACCTTGCTGACCTTTGTCAAGTGTTTAAGGAATACTAGACACAACCCGTAGGAGTTTTTTATTCAAAAGCTTAATCAGAATACCAAGGATAGTTGTGTTATTCCAGAAGAGAAGAGGGACTAAACTGCAATGTCGTCACAGTTTAACCGGTTTCCATTTCCTCTTTGGAGGGAAATCGCTTTACCTGGAAATGGGCTGACATAGTCTGGCTTCCCTCTTCATCCTGATGTTAGAGCGCGCTCTGGGCAGCGCTGGTAAACGTCTGCTTTGTACTGGTGATCCTGCGGGATGCAATAAAATAGTAACAATCAAACACAAGTAAATTGCAGTAAAAAAGAAAACTGGCTGGCTTTGACTTGAAACCCCAAAACGTGAAGACAGCCATTACTGTGCTGCAATACCCTTAAAGTTTCCTTCTCCAGTACTGCGCTCCTAGTCTGAAGTTATGTGGGTCTTGATGCTGAGGTAGCCAACAAGAAAATCCAGTGTGGCAAGTACCATTATTGCGTACGGGGAGACGGAGCCGACAATGCCTAACCATCCCTCCAGCTCCAGCGGTGAAATACAGATGCCAGTGCCCATCAGCTGCCCCATGAGAGAGATATCCACTGCTGTACCCTGTAATGCTGTAGGTGAACCAGGCACCTTTCATAAAGATGAAGTTTCATTAGATTTAGGATTTGTTCCTAATACTGAAAAAATTCTTTCCTTCTCTGCCATTGCAGGAAGTGGTTTCGGATGAAAGGCTCCAAGGAGGACAATTACTGGAGGAACCAAAACTTTTGCATTTCAAAGGGAATACCTTCAGTCTTCAGATATCTGTCCTTGATATCCCCCCTTTCCTTTGGAGAATTAAACCATTTACTGCATGTCAGGTACTTGTCAGTTTTACTTGTCTACATTTGCATTCAGAAGAAGTAAGAATTTTCACTGGTATAGGCATAACCCAAAGAAGACAATGGTCCCTTCTATTTTTGAAAAGTGTGGTTTTAATCTCTTGAGTATGCAACAAAAATGCATTGTCTTACGACTTTGACAAACACAGATTTTGTATATAACAGAATGCTTTAAACTTTTCATTTTACAAAAATGCAAGCTTGTACTTTTCCTCATTTCAATTACCTCCAACAGAAGGCCTATAGTCTTGTTAAAATTTATCACTCGTGAAGATGTTTTTCATCTATTGAAAACGGAATGAGAAAGATAACTATGAATATATGGCTGAAAATGACATTTAAATGTACGCATTTAAATGTCACGAGTTCAAATTGCAGCACGTATATACTAAGATTTAGAACTGAGGAAGAGCAAATTATTTTCCCTGTACTACATTAATTAAAGAGGCTGTTGAAGACAGGAAAGTAAAAATCAAAACAAAAGAATTTCTAAGTGTAATGGTTACTGGAAATTATAAGCAATGTGCTGGCACATAGAGTGGGCTGGTCGTTTAAAATACAGAACCTTAGAATTAGACTATATAATCTCCCTTTTCCCAGAAGCATATAGAAAGACGGTTATCTATCATCCGGTATTTTGGCAAAATGTTTTAAATGTATTGCCATGTTCTCCAAAACATGAGTGTAATGGGCTCTGAAACTTATAAACCCTGATCTATATCCAGATAAATTCTTATATCATTAAGAATATAAGGATAATTTATGCTACAACATAAGAACTGAAAGAAACCGCATCATTTCCAGCTTCACACGAAGAACTACTTGCTTTGAAGTGTTCTCTTTATTCTGCTCACTTAAGTGCATTTGAAAGACAACCCGACCAGTATGAGGATGCCCCCCTACTGTATCAAATACCTATCACAACTAGTACCTGCCTGAGCAGTGAAAAGTCGTGGTTTGTCCTAATACAGCAAATTGAGTTTTGCCTCACACTGCGTTATAATCACAGCTCCATACTTTGATTAATGTATTGTCTCTTGGTCCCTTGTCCAGTCCTGGGGAATAAATCTGCATGACAGACTAAAATTCAACCTCAACGCGCCATTTAGAACGAGGCTGTTTTGTGAAAACTGCTTTCTAATAACCGTTTGGCAGATTTGAACTAAATGTACGTAGCGTCACCGTATGTCGATCTGACTGCTTTAGAAGGCAGACAAATCGCCTTCCGCAGCCCCATCGTGCAGAACGTGCATTGGTTAAGTGTCCAGTGTACGAGAGAAAAAAAAGCAGGAAAGTTTTAATTGAACTTGTCTCGCCATGGTGACTGCTTCAAAAACACCACATTACTTTGGTGAAAAATTCCCTAGACTTTTCTTGCAGCAAAGCAACTTCTTTAAATAGCTCTAGAAATAGAATATAAAACTGTTCAGAGATTAACACTTTCGCTCGCCTATATTGGACGCAGTAGAAATGCCTGTTCATAGTGCTTGCGAAGGCTACTGCAGAAAGGCATTGCAACTGCGTAAGGAGGAATAGCCCCTAGGAACCCAAACGACACTGTCATGTGATAAACTAGAAAAATGGCCTGCAGAAAACAAAACTTACTGTGCTGTCTGCAAACAACTTTGCTGATAACCGCTCTAGCCTCCATGTTTCTTTGTAATTAAGAATTTGGGGAGGATTATTTCTGCCTGATAATTTCCATAAAGTTGTTACTTCTTTGGGGCATTACCTCCTTTGCTGGTTTTGAGTCCCTGCTGCATGCAAAATTCTGAGAGTGACTCAGAGGCCTCAAAATACTTTGTGTGCGGGTCAGCACTTTTCTTAATGCTGTGTACAACTTTATGAATAAATCTATTGCTTATGGTATATTAAACTCAGGTATTTTTGTTCTCTGTTGGCAAGTAATAGTCTAGAGTTTCCAGTCAAAACTGAACCACAGGGTTCTGTTAAAACAAGACATGATAGCCAATGCAAATGTCTCTGTATCGATCTTCATGCGTTGCAAGGACCTCGCTTTGCTCAATCTAATGCAAGCGGCACAGTCCAAAGTAGCTAATAAATTTATTGCTGCAAAATAAAAACAAAAAAAAAAGTCAGATGAGGGAGCCATAACCCACGGAAGACTGCTTAAGTGCTGTGCTTGCTTTAAGGCAGGCATGGACGGGAGACCTGCTGGGGTTTTGGATCCTAGCAGGCACATCCCCCGTTCTCGCGGCAGCCGCTCGGGGTTAAAGCTCTGTGCAAAACCTCTGCTGGCAGAACGGGCTGACACAGTGCGGATACCAAAGCCAAATAAATATTTACAGTTTATAATTGAGTATAGCTAGGATGACTTGGGACAGCTGAGAAATATCACAATTGTTCCTAACGGAGAGCGCAGAACAACTTACGCTGGCTTTGTATTTCCCTCTCAGTGAAATGTTTTGTGAAATGTCCCAACGCTGTTGACAGCTTTGATTTGGTTCCAGCCTCTTTATATATAAAATAATCTATTTCTTCATATGGAGTTTCTTCCAGTGTTTACTTGTTTTCTCTCCTACATACCACACTTTAAAAACAAGCTGGCTGTTCTGGTTGTCAGGAACAACTGAAAAGAGCCTACTCCTTAATTTTCTGTTTGGTCCACCAAATGAAACCATTATCAGAGAGCACGATGAGGAAAGATTTATGTCAATGATTTCTCAGATAAGTAAAGATCCCGCTCCCAGGCTCGAGCAGATGAATAAATCATCATGTAAAACGGTGGCATAAAAGCAGTTAATGGCAGGTGGTAGTCAGAATTTCTCGAGACTATGCTAAGTGCATTTGTTTGTCCTGGCCATCCTGCAGGAGCAGATGCTGAGTGCTTGGCATCCTTCCCACCACGTTCACAAGTAACTGGGGGAACCCTTAAAACTGGTTGGGTGTTAGAGCAGGAAGAGGCTGTGACGAGCATGTTAAGAAGCCAGACAGGCACCTTTGGGGGTTCAAAGCAGCTGTCTTCCTAGCATCTTGCGTCTCTTGGAGGACCCAGTGTCTGGCTGTAGCTATGAGATGATTTACATTCCCTCTGTCTGCTAGGAACTTAATTATAAAGGGAGAATAAAACTGAAGGCATTTCTGGAATACTTAAACGTTCATCGTTCCACCATGCTTTGCCCCCCTGCATTATGTTTCATATAATTCTTTTCAGCTGAGTGATTCTTCCACTCTGAATGAAAGCGGAGATGATTACTCTGGAAAAATCTAATTACAGTTGCTCCACTTCTAATATTTTGCTAACGTTGCCTTTATCGCTGTTGGTACCTTGCTACTGCTACCAACTCAGGATCTAAATGCAGAGCTTATCGTTATCACTTAGTGCATCGTTACAGATAGCCCCAGACGCTCTTTAAGAAGCAGTAAACTGCGTATCAGCTATGAGTACGATAGTCTCCTTAGTTTAGCCCTGACTGTATTTAAAGTATAGGGTGAGGCTGATCTTTGAAGCTGTGCATTCTCAGATTACCAGCGAATAGCTAATTTCTTCAGGGACATAGAGAAGATTGCAGCCTAAGTCCAATGCAGATTGCTCATAGGAAGGCAAGAGAAGAAACGCATGTTTTCTGAGCTGTAAGCTCTTAGGTGAGCTTCCATATCGAAACTCATCGGGAGAGTGAAGTGCATGGTTTACTTGATTTCAACAGCTAACTAGCTGGTAGGTCACTCAGTTATAACCATCAGTACCAAATACCGAAGGAATTATAGCTGCCTATAGGCAGCACATCTTATGTCCTTGTCTGTCGTTTATTAACCCTTTAGAGAGCTCTGAAAATTGCAAGCAGAATGCATGCCCAGATTAAATTTGCGTATCGTAATTATTGTATTTTATTTGAAGGATCAGCTTCACATGCTGTTCAAATCAATTATAAAATTTAAAAATAGTGCGTGAAAAAGGGACAGTAACCTGAAAATTCATAATCCTCCTCTAGAAAAAGGAATGTAAAAACCTTTAGTTTTCTCATGTTAGAATAATTGCTCATTGAAGCTGTTTAATGCTGTCCCATAATCATATGGGTGAATGCTAAGATAGAATGGAATGAAATATTAATACCAGCCTTTTTTTCCCTTTTACATTATTCTCCAGGTTGCCAAGTGTACAGTATTTTCCAATATTTTGAAATTCACAGAGAACACATTTGGTTTAATGGTTTTTACTGTTTGCGTGCCTTCATGGCTACAGTGTAGAACGCCATAGTGGGCTTATAGCTGATGTTAAAGTTTGGAATTTTATTTTTTTTTTTTTTTTTAAAAAAAAAAGGTATTCTGAAAGTGTAAAGAGAGGAGACCATTAACAGAACTTTGGTATTTAGAAAGTAGTCCTAAAACAGAAGCTAGCTGCCCCCTACGTACTTCTCCTGTCTATTTCCGTACGTTTTTAGGAACTCAAAGCAACCAGAGATGCCAGAAATCTCTGATGATTAATTGCTGCAGTTGTCTATATAGCATTTGATGAGGGCATTCATCCCATAAAGTGTCCCTGGCTGAAGTAGAGGAGTCACTGAAAGTAGTCACAGAATATAACAGGATGAAACTAAGTAAAACAGACTGACCAGTGATGTGCAGTGGGCTGCACGTGACTACCCAGGCAGGTGGGTGTTTTTAAATTTGGATGGACCATAAATATAGAAAACATGCCGTCATGCTCTATGCTGCATTAACTTAGAGAGGAAGTACAGTTCTTGATGGGAAGTTCCTTTTTTGGGATTCTGTAGTACAAGGTGATGGCAAGGAGGCACAGATTAGAGTAAGAGTTCCGATCCCTGCCTAGGAGGAGTAAGTGAAGTGCATCTTTCTTGAATTTCATTGTAGATGAGAGTCTGTCATCATTTGCGTCACTGAACAAAATCTAAGCTGTCAGCAGGTGTAACACCTTAGTATTTACCAACTGAATTGTCATTTATTAGTTTTGTCCTACTTTGAGTTGGAGGGATGTTAGTAAACAAGCGGTTGCAGAGCAAAAGAATGGATTTTTTTCCTGTTTTGCGATTGTCACAACTTCTCTCTCCCTCTCTCACGCCTGCTTCCCCGTTCTTGCGGGATGCGTTCTCTCGCAGGAGGTGCCGTTCTCCCGCGTGTGGTGCAGCAGCCAGAAGCCGCTGCACTGTGCCTTTTCGCTGGAGCGCTACACGCCCGCAACTACACAGCTGTCCTGCAAGGTCTGTGTCCGGCAAGTCAAGGGTCATGAGCAAATCCTACAGATCCAGACATCCATTCTAGAGGTAAAGTGTTCTCTCTCCTTTTTGTTTTGTTAAGTTGCTGTGTAGTATGAGACGCGATCCCTCCCCATTTTTGTCCTTTCTATGTAGGTCCTGATGCCCTGTTCAAAACTGTAACAAGTATATAAAGCCTTACAAATTCCATTTCCAGCAGAAATCCAGGTACAGAGATTCTACAACACTAAAAATAATTCATATTTGAGTTGGTGGTAATAGTTTTCTTGCAAAAAGTTTCTGAATAGCTTGCAGAGCACTGAGAGTTGAAAGCAGAGGGATTGCCTGTATGCTGTTAGGCCACTGACCAGTCGCTTATTCGAGCATTTTGGTATACGCAGAACGTCTTGCAAGGACTGTAGCTGCGCTCACAGGTGAAAAAAATCAAACATGTAGTCAAGCAAGCTGGTGATGTGTCCTATGGCAATGAAAACCTCAGCTCTTTTTTAGATTATTGAGCAACTTTGTTGATTAATCCAGATTAATACTTCTGGATTAAAGATGTATGCCCATTGCACCGTGCAGAGAATGAGGCAACTAAATAAGAAAACCACAAATATAATTCTGTATAAAAACATCCTCAGAATACGGCCAAACATTGTTCCAGTTCTTTATTGTTACTTCATAAAAAAAACTTCTGTCATTCTCTATATATCTCAATACAATGTTGCTGCTGCCTGCTTTTTTTTTTTTTCTAAAAGAAGGACCTATCTGTCCACAAGTCCCCAGAGCATGTTGCAATTCTGTCTTCAAATGGATTTGCTAGTATGGAAGGCTTTCTCATGCCTATCTCAAAAAGTGATTGAAGAGTGAGGATAATCTGACTGTAAAATAAATATATAAATAACAACTGAATACTTGAATTGCTCGTTGCTTTACAATTCCCTGAACTAACCAGGTAGCAGTAGCTTATCTCACATGTGCAGGGTATGAAAATGTACTATTGTTCTGCATATTTAATTTAAACAGTCAGACCATGCGATATATCTACAGCACTGCTATTATTTTCCATGGATGACTTTTGGGATGTGTCATAAATGTTATATGAAGAGACTATAGCATCATTGTTATTTAATATTTATGCTGCATTGCACTGAAACGAATAATGCATGGAAATGCGACTCGAAATATTACACAAGACCGGTATAATTTCATAGGAAAAGCATGGGCCAGATCTACAAAAGGAGCTGGATTCCTAGGAGATTTTTAATATAGAACAACTGAGGTACTTATAGAATTTAGGTGTTTTTTAAAAAGTCACAAATGAGGGATTTATGTGTCCATATTTTAGGCTTAAGCAATTAAAGATTCAGAAACCCATACTCTTTTGTGGCATTCCCTCTACCAATCACTGCTCTATTGGACTTTGTCTGTAACACAAAAATAAACAAAAGGAGGAAACTTTGGAAGGAAAAATTATACTATTCTAAATGTTTTTATACATAGGTGCTTGTGATGTTCTAGAAGTTCCTTCACAAATCAGAAAAATACCTCTTAGCTATTTAATTTTCTGTTGCCAATTCTACAAACTGTAGCTGGAAGCTCAGGCTCAGGTGTGATGAGTCCTCCAAAAGTCCTCCAACAGCAGACCTGGCGCCCAAGAGGTACACGTAGCCCGGCTCCCTGCAGGTAGGTCCCTGCGTAACAAGGCAGCAGAACGAGCAGGGAACTGCCTGCGCTCACAGCTGTTCTCAGCCTGAAGAGGCTGTGCAGGGATGTTGCCTCGGTTCCCCGTTTCTGAACAGGAGGGTGCGACAGGACTCTTGGACTGCTCTCTTACCATGCTAAAGAGCCGCCTACGGACCCGCGGCAGGCAGAAAGCCTGATGCCCTAACTGCTGTGCTTTTCTATCCTGTGTAGAATGAAAGAGAAACCATCGCTTTCTTTGCACACGACGACAGCAACTTCCCCGCACAGATGGGTCCAAAAGCATTCAAGATCCCCTACTCCATTAGACAGCGAATCTGTGCAACATTTGACACACCCAATGCCAAAGGCAAAGACTGGCAGATGTTAGCACAAAAAAACAGCATTAACAGGTAATGGCAGGCAGTTTTGAAAGGTGAACATTTACATATGCAATGGGAATAATTTGCTGCTGGTATGGGGGTTTTTTGTTTGTTTGCTGGTATTAAAGATGTCTGCATAGTAATTAACATAGTTACTCTCAGTTCATGCATTCTTTTATATCCTAGCTGCTGTGAACAGGAACTGCTTTCTCCTCTGAATAAGCCCGCGTGCCCTGTTCCTACCCAATGTTTGCTTCCAAGGACGGGTTCTTTGTTCCGGCCGGGACCTTCTCTTTGTGTGCCCACGAGAGTGGGGTCTTGGTGAAGTACCAGGCTGTAGAAGGATTCTGGCACTGTTGCGTGCTACAAAAGCAGTGGTTTAAAAGACTTAGGAGGTTGCATGTTCTCCCAGAAAAATCATATGGCCTCTTGCCTTGGCTTCTGTCTGCATATTTTGTATTCCAAAATGAGTTACACATTTTGCAGGGTTTTGTTGGGTTTGGGTTGTTTTTTTTTAAGGAAAAGGCATATTTAAAAAAGAAATTCATGCTCTACTGTTAGGAGTAATAATATTATGATTATTAAAACTGAAAGATGCTGTAAAAACTAATTTACTACTTATTTTGCCTTTGCCGCCTGGCTAAATTAAATTGGTGGAGGCAGTTCACTCAGAAATATTTTCTGATTGTCACAAACGCCATAAATGTGTTCCCGAGAGGGAAGAGGAATACTTAAATCAAGCAAAATAACTTTTCATTGACTTGTTGCTTTGCATGGCAATCTCAATAAACCACATCTGAACTAAAGAAAAAAGTAATTTATAGTCTTGCAGCAGTGAGAGAGTCGGAAAATTCTGCTTTACTTATCAGCGTTTACTACCTATTGTCAGGAGCTTTAATCTCCCCTGGTTTCTGTTCCTCATGTGCAGAGGAAGCTGGAGGAGATTTCTTCTTTCTCAGGGAACTGAGACGGTGTACTAAGGAGATTACACTGACTTGTCTAAGACCGCATTTGTGAGAGCCCTTTAACTTTTGATTCTGTGTTGGACACAGCTGGTAGGGTCTTTGCAATATCTATTTTTATAAAATCAAGTCCATAGATAGAAAAAGGAAGTTGTTGAGCAGTTTAAACAGCCCAAAATGTAGTTATAAAACCAGATGGTAGAGCATAAATACTTGACTTCACAGATTCCCACATAGCTGCTGCACAGCACAACCCATTAGTGTCATCGTAGTATTTCCCCATCCATTTCAAAACACAGGCCACTGCCGTACTAGTAGTTCTGTTGAAGTCAAGGTATTACTTGACAGGAACTAAAGCCTGCCTTTAGTTCCTCAGTTTAGACAGTAATCTGTTCTTTCAATGCACTGGAACCTCATATTGTTGCTACAGGGAGCTTCGTCAAAGCTGGAACTGTACCGCACATACGCACACGCACAGACTGGTCGCTGCATGTTAGAGATGAAGTACTGAGGCAAGGTAATTAGCAAAGCTTGAGGGGGAAAAAGAGAGTATCTGCCTGTTTTGTACTCATGGGTAACAGTCCAAAAATGGTCAGTAGCAAATACTGAATTATCTTGGATTTGGTTTGAAAACCTAACAATAGCATTCAAGTCCGAATCTCCTTTTCTGTGCTACAGGTTCATCCGTTTCTTCCTGTATTTACAGATATGTACCCATATGTAATACAAATGCTATAAATAACATTTCTGCTTGTGAATGTGCATTTAACGTATTTATTCAGATGATTATGTCTAAAGCCCATAAATAGGACTTACAGGGTAATGTGTTTAGGACAAACACTTTGTTTTACCAAATTCTTTGCAAGTATCACCCCTGTAAAGTCCTAAAACCTACATGTTAATAAAATATGATATCTTCACATAATCACAGGCATCAATTTAAGTTATATAATTCCTCTCCCTGACAAATACTTGCAAAGTTTACTAATGATGCTTTCCAGAACTGACTCGTTTTCTAAATTATATAGGATGGCACTGCTGGCCAGCATTTATGTACCTCAGAATATACAAGTCCCTTGTTCGTTCTACCTCTGCTAAACTGAGCAAGTGATACTTGAAGAATAAATGCACCCGTGTGTGTCCTCTTGAGGGTTCCCTCCACTCATCTCATCTAGGTCTTCCTGAAGGTTTTTTGGTTTTTAAACACATCTAGAGTGCCAGGCGCAACAGAGGGCACTTGCACATTCCTGGTGGCTGCAGGATATGCTGCTCCTCATCCTTTTTGTTTCACCTTTTTCTCCCCTCCTTTTAGGAATCTCTCCTATTTTGCTACGCAGAGCAGTCCATCTGCCGTCATTCTGGACCTCTGGGAAGCCCGACATCAACATGATGGCGACCTCGACTCCCTAGCCTGTGCCCTGGAAGAAATAGGAAGGACACACTCCAAAATCTCAGACATAACGGCAACGGAGATCGAAGAGCCTGACTTCAACTACAGCAGACAAAATGGACTTTAGTCACTTTTTTCCATCCAAGAACTGATGGCCAGCTTTGACTATTACACTAGAGAATCTCTTTGGCAGGGAGGAAATAAGGGTTTCTGCACACTGTGTGTATGGAAACAGACACTCATTTCCACAATGCGGTTTTCAGTTGGAGGAGCAGAAGAAGCCCTATTAAGAATCATCTCAGTAATAAGGAAAACACAAGCTTCTCCCTGTCCTCTCTCATTTAAAATCCATGTTTTAATGTCAAAACCAAAACTACACATCTGTCATTCCTGGGGCAGGAAGGAGTGAGATACAGAGCCATAAAAGGTAAATATTATGCTATGTATTTACAAAACAGTAATGCTAATGTAATACCTAATGAAAATCAGCAAATAGGATACTGAGTATTTAGAGCCACTAGAGGTTAATCCTAGCTTAAAGGTTTGTCTTCTTGGGGCCTTGACTCCCCTCCATCCTGCATCTCTAACTTACCGCACTTACAGAGTGGGCTTACAACCTCATTTGATAGCATCATGTTGTGACTTTCTATCTGCTACAGAAGAACTGAAAATCTGGCCTTATCCTGTTCAGATGTTTGAGGAATTAGAAGATTTCATAACTAATTTAATTGGTATCATGTGTGTTCCAAACAATTTCTTTTAAAAATTCAGTCACTTAATGAATGTACATTTGCTGCAGAGCTTTCCTGCCTATTCTGTTAACAAAATAACAGAACAAAACCCTTCTCTGTGAAATTAGTTTGTGTGCGTGTGTGAGAGAAATTTTCTAAAGTTCTCGGCCTGCAAACTTCCACTTAGTCAAAAAATGTGGTTTTGGGGGTGGATTTAAATAACCAAATAAAATGCAGGAAATTGCCAGCCCTATTTTAGCAAGTTTACACATTTTTTATTACTTCATGTTCTGGGGCTAAACTAAAAAGTAAAGGTGAAGTCAATCAGCACAGCTTAATTTTGGTTTAGTTTCAGACTGACACGATAAACCCCACATAGTATTGCCAAAAGTTGGCTTGATTTCATTGTACAGTTTGGAAAAGTCACCAGATACAAAGCTACCTGCGTTACACTCGGTTTAGTTACAAACATACTGCATTTACCATCAAACCCAGAATCTAACTAGAGCATTCTCCTCACTTTTTATCCATTTCATACAAAAATAATTACTTCAACTGAACCAAAAAGAGAGATGTCACTGTGAGTGAGTGTCCTAGAACTGGTAATGAGCCAAATTTAACCCTTATTTTTACTCATATATTCTTTAAAATTAGCCAAGGTGCTCATTAGCTCTGGCCCTAGGCTATCAGTTTTGGTGATAACACAATCAGCATGAAGCAGGAACATGAACAAGACTTTCAGAGCTTTATGGAAATGCGAGAAATTGAAAACAAGCATTCTGGGGTTTTTCTACCCCTGTATTTGGCCAAGCAGCATGACAGGCCACAGGGTAGGTACCTAGTGTGCAAATCTATAATAATCTGAAACCATTTCTTTACCAAGGATTCCAGTTCTGAAAAGTATGATGAACAACTCTCGATGTAAGACTTTGCTTGTTCTCGCTGATCTGCAATTGCAAATTTCATTGCTTTCCCAGCTCAGCAGGCTGTAATAGTCTTAGACTTATAAATACTTAGACTTCCCCAAACATTTTCTGCACTTTAGTATTTTATGCAGCCTGACAGGAGTTCCTGTTTGCAATGGGAAATCATAATGGCTGCAAGCATATTTAAGACTGAGACAAAAACACCAGCTTATTTGGCAGCAAGCTGTCACTGTTTTCAGCAGCACATGGTTCTATCTGTGTTTGAATTATATTTCTAATGACTTCCATTCCTCCTCCTCAGAAACCTGTTCTTCATTGGACAAAATGTCATGAAATAAAAAAAAATAGGGAATGGCATCCACAGAAAAGCGGTGGAGCTTTAGTGAGCTGTCGTTGTCCGGGAAACCAGCTACAGTCACTCTCCAGCAGTTAATTTGTTCTCAGCTTCTCCTCAGATGCAGTTTTAATTTTCAACTAGCTTAGGTTAGCTCCCACAACAAAGACCTAAGTACTACTCTGCAGGTGCTGTAACATATTCATGGCATTCCCAAGAGCTGTATGTATTTTCTCCTCCCGTTTTCCAAATATACATGCGAGCTACACACAGCATATGGGGTCAAAAAGAACTGCTATATGGAGCTCAGACCTTAAGCTTTTTCTCAGGAAATGCACAGTGTTTACTTTCAAGACTTGGATAGCTTTGGAAAACCTCTGTGTACAGCGACACCCAACTCTGCCTACTGAATGCTCAGTAAAGCCTCGAGAGAGAGAAGCCAGACGTGGTCTTGACTGACTTCCTCCAAAGTGCATCTCAAAGGGCCTTCAGAATGGAGGGAGCTGGGCTGTACACCAAAATCCAGGTTAGACCCAAAATCCAATGAAGTCTAGTGTCTGAGTTAACGTACTGAAAAGGAATAAATGTCAAAGTTTCCTACAGTGCTGGAACAGAAACTGTTCAGTTTTGGGCCTGAGGTAAGATTTTAATTTTACATTGCTCAATAGAGTATCGGTGTTTCCCGTTAGGTTTTGTTTCCTGGTTTTTCTTCACTTTTGCTAAAGCAGCTTCTTTGTTACTGATCTTACTTTTGTGATTCTGAATCAAGATCTCTGACTTTTTTTAACCTATTATTGTTTTGAAGCTCCTGTGGTCTTTTAAGTAGACTAGAAATGCCACAGTACTACTTACTTACTTACCTTTCTCCCATTGGAATGGGGTTTGAAACGGTAACCAAGCCGCTAGCCTACGTTTCTAATGCGAGCTTACCCAGCCGACATCAGAGTCTTACAAGAACTGCCACTCTCCATCAGGTGAAACTCTATGTAGTCCTGTATGGTGTCTCTAATAGCGACCAGGATTGAAAGCTTAGGGACATGCCCTGGACTGAAGGACTTCCTCAGCAGGGGGTTGCACCGGACCGCTATGTCTGAGACATGATACTGTCCTTCAGCAAACTGACGAATCCCTTCTGAACCCACTGAAACACTTGGCCTTCCTGACCCATATCCAGGAGAAACAAGTGCCGCAACCATCTTTGGCGTTTTTCCAAACAGCCCTTTGTTCCAAGCTCTCCTTTTGTTTAACACATGCTGCCTAAGAATTGCCCTGGCCTCCCCTAGTTCCACGTAGCGAGGAATATTGAGTAGCTGTCACCAAATCACCTTGTCCATATTATGCATTCTTTTACAGGCTTCTCTCACATTTCGTTTCCACTCATTCTCTTGTCTAGGCTGAAAAACCCTGGTTTATTCTACTTCTTTGAGCATCCTTGCTGTTACTCTCTGTATCATCTCTAGTTCTGTATCTTTTTTTGAGATGGAGTGACCAAAAACCTGCTTTTCAACAGGAACGCGGGCTAAACCACACAATTCCTCCATTTCCTCAGTTTCTTGCCGTTTCTGCGTTCCGTATCAGTCACAGAGGATTAAGATCTTGCGATAGCATAAAGCCACAAGAAACACCTGGGAGAAAGTGCACGACGCCTGAGAACAGTCACTGACTTTACTATGCAAATTACTCAAGCTAATACATCCTGAACATCCAGAAAATAAAACCTGTGAGGAAAAACCGTCTAGCTGAAAGAAAAGACTGAGGTGACAGAGAAGATGTCAAAATCTTTTAAAAAAATACCATAAAATGGAAATTATTTGTTCTCCATGATAATCATGGGTATTGGTAGGCAGTAACTGGACAGTAAGACCTTAAGTTAGACTTCTGAGTGGAGAAATAGGCTACAGGGTTTTTTTTCTATTCCCTTCCCCCCCACTGCATCTGTTGATTATTACCTGCTATGTCTGGTACAGGCAGGCCTGGTTTCAGATGCTCTCTTTCTGTTGTTTTGTGTTAGCACCGTGGGATGATATTAATAGCACTTAGCACTTTTACTTATAGAGGCTTATGCCACTTCTCCCTCTTTCATGCACAGTCCCGGTTTTAGAAACAGAGATACTCAAACAGTTTTTCGGTAAATGCTTCTGCTACCAGATAAATGAGGTAGAAACGTGGATTTTGTTACCGTTAACAAACAGCTAAACAATACAAGTAAAAGATGTTAAACGTTTGCTTCCTATTTTCCACAGTAGAAAGCAGCTGACTTTTGCAGCTCCCCCAGAAGCCTGCTGTAAGTATGCTTTGCAATACTTCATTCACTCAGAATGATAATTTAGAATTTGTATGCACATACTATATAAGTAGGTACGTGGAACAGTTATTAGCAATCTTTAAATTCCAGAAGCACACTTTTTAACATCTATCTTAAAAAGATTTTTTGGAAATCTGTATACATATATATATATATATGATTTGATCCAAAAGACAGATGTAAAGGAGCATCTGAAGCAGGATTAGAGGCCAGAAATTAAACATTTATTCCTTTCCTCTATTTTATAAATTATGACTTTTGAAAAATAATTTTAAAAATCTCTTCACAAACTAGAAAGTGAAAGGAAGAGAAATGAAATGTTACACACTTAAGATTCCATCTAGCTGCCCTGGGTCTGAGATGGCGAAATAGCCATTTTGATTTGACATCACCAGAGTCTGCTCTAGTATATTTTCATCTTCCTAAGCACTTTTCTCAGATATTTCTGTGCTGTGAGTCATTTAAGACTAATAGTTGCATTTTAAAAATGACTTACAATTTTGTCACCAAAATGGTGCACTTCACAGCTCCGCCAGACTGCAGCATTGTAAAGCTAATTTACAGTTTTTACAACACTGCTTTTGCAGTCTTACTAGTTTATATTAAAATCCTTTAAGCCACAAGGAAAGGAACCCTGCTCTGTAGATTTAAATTCAAACTTCATTACTAGTGCAAGTCCCATAAAACCAAGATGTACTCCCACAAAAACTTTATTGGGCTTTTTGTAATAGATGAAAAGATACCAACACAAGTCTCTTAAAATATGGGGAACTATTTTTGTTATTATTTTTATCTCTGGCAACAGCTGGTCTCCTCCTCTATGGGCCTGTG